GATTTCTCTCAGGGGTCCTTTGGCTTGTGTTGAAATTACTAGTAGTTTAATGACTACATTTACAGCTTTGTTTAACTCTGTTGTTTTGTTTTTAACAATATGACAATATTGTGGGTTCCTGTAACTTGTTTTAAAATGAAAAATACAGAAGAGATATGAATCTGATGAGTTTTTTTGGATGTTTATACTTAATTCAGTGCTTGTGAAATGGAGGATTTTACAATAGGTTTTGCTGCATTCGAGCATCATGTGCATAGGCAACATTAGCACACCCAGATTTGTCCCCTTGAATCCCTTAGTTCCAATTCTGAGTCTCTTCAGATCTTGCTCATCCTGATGACCTGCATGATAGTTTCGCAATATGGTAAAAGCGCTTTTGAGGAGTCACATGATCTCACTTGTGCACTTAAACCCAGGTCTCCAGCCGTGAGCAGCTAATATATTAACCACTGAACCAGCTGCCCCTTTCCCTCTTTTGGCAGCTGTGGTGGATACGTATTTCTTTTTTCTTTTAGATTTCACTCCAGTTCTCAACTTGAGACCTGGCTCAGAATACACTGCATTTTTCAGATGTAGAAAAGATGTTTTATTTTTCCAAAAGGAAAAATGGATGCCCAGCAAATGGCTCAGGGAGTTTTCCACCTTTGAGCTCTGGTCAAGTGAAAAATTCTCTAAGTTGTGTCTAGTACATGGAACATTTATTCTGTTCTGATATATGCAGTAGTGATGTGCAGAGTGTTCCTCTTTCTAGCTGTTTGTGTGCCCCTTACAGAATGAGCTGAGACACTAGAAACTTTCTGCTGATATGCTGAGGCGTTTCCAGGCCTGCAGCTGAGTTTCTCTACAGAGCTCTTTTAATCCCCCATTGAGTCCCTCTTGCTAGATCTCTTCCTGGGTACTGAGCCCTAGTGCAGAAAGATGCTCAGGAATGAAAGGGTGAATTTAGCATCTTGTTTTTCTCACTGCACATAGCTGTGATAATAAAGGAAGTGGATAAGCTACAAAATTCTTAGTCATCATAGGAGGAAACATTTTTTTTAAACAAAAATTGAATTCATTTGAATTGGGTGGTAATTTTTTATCAACCTCATTTTAAATGGTGGATTTTTAGTTTATGCTGAAGCAAAGAAATGACTGAGTTAGAAAATAAATGTGTACCCTGTATTAAAGCTATATCTTTGTGTACATACAGATATTCTTAGATTAGAGGAATACATTTTGATAGGTACTTAATCTTTTATGTGGACTAGTAGTTTTGGGAAGCATTTTAGCATTTAACTTTTTGGTGCTTATTTTTGTAGCAGGAAAGAAGCATCAGGCTAGTGGTTAAAAACAGGACTGGGATTTATGATGGCTGGGTTTCTAATCCTGTGACAAACTCCCTGTGTGGCCTTAATCTTCCTGTGCCTCAATTTTGTCATCAGTAAAATGGGGGTGCATAAAAATTGCCTACTTCACAAATGGAGGTTTAATTTACTGTTTGTAAAGTACTTTGAGACCATGGGGAATGAAAGTGCTGTAAAAGTGCAAATGGATGCTAAAAAAATGTCCATGATTCTTAATGGGCTTTGTAACTTGTAATGGTGCTCTTGTCAGTTTGAGTTGGATATTCTTGTTTTAATACAGGTTAGCATTTACTGTCTTGATTTTTGTTTTTAGAATTTAGAGAAAACTAATTTCTTTATCCTTAATTCACCCCATTGTGCCTACAATGGCCACTGGAGAACGTATGGGTCAGTAACAACCGCATGCACTTTTGCCATACTTTACAGTGACTAGATACATGGCTTAACTCAAGGTTTATGTATTTACTTTTCCCATATGAATCAGATAAAATTCTTTATATTTATACGTGCACACAGTTCTCTTAAATAATTTCCCGGCGTTTATTCATGGCTTAGCATCATTTTAGTGTCTTGCAGGTACTGAGATTTTGTGCTCAAAAGTTTGTATGAGTACATTTAAATGAGTCTATGGACTGACTGCAGTAATTGTCTCTTTTTTATATAATGTGTCTATATGTAATATTTTGAATTATAGGAATTAATACTAAAATAAATAATATATACACACACATAATAAAATAGTTTTTAAAATAGAGGTCTTGCAGAACTGTCACTCCTTAAGATATTTAAACCTCTTTGGAGTTTGTTGCACTCCTTAATACATTTTGATAGGGTCCTGAAGGGCAATGTAGTATTTCTAGCTGCATTATGGGACCACAAGCACATATGTAAGCAAAGAGCATTTATTGAGTCTGATTGGTCAGAAAGACTGAGCGCCTGAGATTCCAGACAGTCAGTGGGAGTCAGGGTGCTCAGCTTCTCTGAGAATCATGCCATATGCGTTAAACTGTTTTGCAAAAGTGTAGCTCCTAAAAGATGGGCTTCGCCAATAAGCTATAATTTCAGTGTTGGTAGTGTCTGTCTGCTAAAATATATTGAAATACAACCAGCAAACAAAAGAGGTTGAGAGAGGAGAATAAAGATGCAGATTCACTTGCCCATTTCTTTTTCCTCCAGAAGTTTAAGAAATAATTTCCATGCTGTCAGATTGCTATGTTGGCTGTATTGTTGCCTTAGAGAATATAAAACTTTTTTCATTCTTGAGCTACTCCAAGTATTTCCATAATAGCATTAAAGAGAGAGTGGATTTTTCTTCTTTCAGCATATGGTGACACTTCGGCTGCAACCAGCAACTGTGTAATTGGTACATATCCCTTTGGAGTAAAAAATCTTTGCTGCTAGACTGAGTAAAGGCACTCCACTGGAAACTTGTAGTTTTTACTTGCTTACAAATACCGTTGCAGCATGGTTGAATGATGTGAGAGTCCCTTCATACATGATTTTGTATGAAAGGGCCTTTTTTGGATAAACCCAGTCAAAACTCATTTAATTTTGTCTAAGACCAGGTACTACTGGTGAAACTGTCTGTTTTGCAGCCATTCCAATGGATGCTCGCATCTGATTTTAGCAAATCAATAATAGTAATTTCTAAAGGTTTCCAGGGCCAGGCCTAGGCAATATTTGGATGGAAGACCATGGTAACTCATAACTGATGGGTCAGTAGGTGGCACCCTTTGTACATTATGTGGGGAGGTGTCATCTTCTGGATAAAGAATAAGGAGTATGTCCTAATTCCATGTCAGTTTTTGCAAAAGCAGGGTTATCTCTTGTGATGGATAATTGCATTCCACCTTGTACTTATTTATATTTGGATCTACAGTCTGCAAAAACAGTCCCTCTTCTTCTTCCTGCTCTTTTTTGCAACACCTTTTACTATTCTGGGAATGCTGTATGAACTGGATAATAACTTCTTGTGCTCAGCTTACTCTAGTGCTCTAAACACTTCAAGAAAAATGTAGCATGAAGTTTTCATTTCAGTTACTATTTTTAGGGGATGAAAACAGCCTCAAAAGCTTTCTTAAGGCATGCTGATGTTAACCCAATATAGGATTGTGAGCTGGGGCCTAGAGGGCAGTCCGTGCCTCCTGGGTTTCCGTGTTGCAGCAATCAGCCAATGGGGCAGTACCTGTGAGGATGGATTTCATTGGATAGGCCTTGTCCCTGCAACAGGTTTTTTTGAGTTGGCTGGCTAGGGCACAGGGAAGTTGATAGTATCAAGCAAGCCACAAGAGGGCCCCTTCCTTCTGTGCCCTCAACTGGAAATTATTATTGGTAATACCATAGCACTTAGAAGCCTTAGTTATGGACCAGGACTGCGTGGTGCTTGACGTTGTACAAACACAGAATAGAAAAAACAGTCCCTGATCCAAAGATCAACTCCTTCCCTTCCCCTCCTCCCCCCATTTCCACCTGGGTAGGTATTGATTTGCAGGTTGGTGTTGCAAACCCATAGAGCTCAGGTGGTTTTGTAAAAAGCAACAGAGTCCTGTGGCACCTTATAGACTAACAGACGTATTGGAGCATAAGCTTTGTGGGTGAATACCCACTTCATCAGGCGCTTTCACCCACGAAAGCTTATGCTCCAATACATCTGTTAGACTATAAGGTGCCACAGGACTCTTTGTCGCTAGTCTAAGGTGCCACAGGACTCTTTGTCACTTTTTACAAGATCCAGACTAACACGGCTACCCCTCTGATACCTAAGCCTTAGGTATCAGTACACCTTTCTCAGGAAAAGGGGTTGGATTTGTGGCAAGCCTGAGCCATTCTAGGAGGCAAGGAGGGTTTCAGGGAAGTAGGCTATTCTGAGTTGCAGGCCACGATAAGGCCTGGGGGGAAATTCAGGCTCTGATAAAGCCTTGATTGTAAGCAGTTGGGGTAAGCCTTGTGGCCTTGATGCTTGTGATTTGAACATCAAAAAGGGGGCAGGCAGGTGACAGAGAATTGATTTACCTTCTCCCTTTTCCGTGTTGTCAAGACAGGTGTCCCCAAGAAGTTACTGTCTTATGGAATTAATAAAGCTGCAGCCACTTGGCCAGAAATTCCAGATCTGTCTTCATTGGTCTCTTCCATTCACAAAGTTCACTGCTATGTTGAGTGTATCCACTGTTTCTACTTGAATGGTGCCTTATTATTGCTGCTTTTCAGCATGCATTGCAAACATAATATCAAAAGGGGTTTTGTATTGGTACAGCATATATATTATCACATGTTTGTTCCTCGTCTATTAATGGGCTTCTTCAATCTAACAGACCAAAGGTATATAGCAAGATCTAGTGGTTAGAAATTGAAGCCAGACAAACTCAGAGTTGGAAAAAGTGCAGATTTTTAACAGTGAGGGTGAGGAACCATTGAGAGAACTTCCCAAGGGTTGTGGTGGATTCTCTGTCATTAGCAATTTTTAAATCGAGATTGGATGCTTTTCTAAAAGATAGGCTCTAGTTCAAACAAATTCAGGCAGGTCCTATGTTACAGAGCTGGTCTATAAAGGGATCACATTGGTCCCTTCTGGCCATCTGTGAATCTGTGTGTAATAATACAAAGTTTTGTTAGTTATAAGCTCTACTCATGGTTGCTCTTTGTCTTTCATGGTAGGAGGCTGAACAGCACCCAGGGCGAGATCAGAGTTGGACCCAGCCATCAGGTAAAGGATTTGATTGTTTGAAAATTCTAACAACGCGGTATAGCAATTTAATGATCTCAAGGAATATGGACTCAAAATTGTGTGTATGTGTATGTGTCTATAAGCATCTAAAATATAATATACATAATTACACATAAATACACTTGCACGTGAGCATTTCGTTAGAATTATCTATTACTCCCAGTATCCGCATAGTAAACAGGACTGTTCTTCAGCATAGGCTGAATTTTAAGGACACTTTTCAGCAAAAAAATATTTTTTATATACTACTGTAGGACTGAAGGAATCAGGTCTGCTCTTGGAAAGCATGGGAAATGAGAAAAAAATTGTTCTCATTAAAAGTAATACATTTTCAGCTGAATTTGAGTATTAAATTTGCCCAACATTTAAAAAAAATTGAACTTAACAGTAACAAAGTTATTTTTCATATGTTTTCAGAGTCTTCTAATCTTACTTCACAGCAAATTAAGATGGTAGCTTGCTGTTTGCTTTATTTAAGACATTTACCTTGTTTTTTAGTTATTTACTGAAGATAAACAAAATGGAGTCATAGTTTGGCTTAGTGTCCCTTAAAAACAGGGGAAGTCATCAAAATCTGCCAAATGCAAGAGAACAAGATTGGAAGGCCAGAGAACTTTATGTTCAAACTTCTGCAAAGTTTCAAGGCAGCAAGAAGCGTGGTGAAGGGAGTAAAGCTTTTGTGCTGTATGCTAATTGATAATAGACTGTATAATATTTTCAAGAATGTCTGTTCATGGGGTTGAGATGATTACAGGGCTAACTGTACTCTCTTCTCTTCCTGGTCTCTCTCAAAGCACCCCCTCAGGGGTCAGGCCTGGAGACTTTAGCTATACTGGGTCAGAGTTCCACAATTCTCTCTCTCCTATTAAGCTCTGGGCTACAGTACACTGTGTATCCTCTGTTTTTACCTTGCAGGTCTGACTGAATTTGAGAGACTGTTCCTTTTCAAACCGTTCAAAATGTTCTTTTGATCTCCTGTGTTCTCTGGACCCCTTCCTGTCTTGGCATTTACTCTTAACTCATGTTTTGACTGAGAAGTGTCCTGTCTTGAGCTATTCTTTCTCCTTTTGGCTTGTTTTTTTCCAATAGTCCCCTGTTAAACTAAACCAATATATTTGTACAGGGAACTTCTCAGTAACCAGGTCAACATACACTATTCAAAAGTTATTACAGACCAGCTCTAAATCTGTCATGGTTGTAAAGGGATGGTTTCCTTCTTGGAGGCAAGTAATGACCTCAACAAGGTATTAAGACAAGTGGAAGATAGCATGCTTTTGGTTGTATTCGTACTAAACCATTTTCCTTCACTTCTGCTTTGTACTGGCTGTTGTTGGTACAGGATAAAATCCTCTTTCTGAAGCGATGATTTTAGCTTTGGTGCTACAGTACGTTTGTTGATTTAACTCCTTCAAGCTTGTAGGAGTGGAAGCTTATCTGTCTCGGACAAAAAAAACCCAAAACCCTCCCAGTGCCAAAAGGTTGTTTAAAAGAAATTAAATTCAGAAATGATATAGAGCACAGTTTAACTTTGGGGCATCAAAGTTCAGGAGGATTATCAAGATCTTCTTGCTGGTCATGCCCTCTTCGCACATGGACTTACGGTTGTAGTATCTTATTTGCCTTTTGTAGGAACTTTATGATGCAGTTGATGTTTGACCTCCTGACCTTGTAAAGACAGGGGAGGTTTAGATCTTTGATACAGAAGCCCTGAGTCCGTTCTTTGAGTGCATTGTATGGTCGAAAATCTTTCACTGTTGGCTATGAAAGATGAGAAGAACTGGGAAGCTTGTAAAACCACTGAGGTGCCTCGGTCATTTCTGGTTGTCATAATACAGAGTGAGGAAGTAGGGATTGCAACATCATAGCATTATGACTGATTGATTGAGACAAACAACCCGCTGCTGGACGTGGCTTTAGGGAAGGGTAAAAGATCTTAGTTTGTTCCAGCTTATTTGGGAAAATCTTTCCTGACTGTTGTAGGTAATCTGCTTGTACAGGAACATGGACAGAGCTAGAATTAATTTGACATGTTAGGGCAAATCCTTCCAATGGGAGTTAAGAGCATTCATCCCCTTGTAAGATCGGGCCCTTGTGAGATATTCAGGCTGTGTTATCCATCCAGACTCCTTTTTCATAGATTCCAATACTAGAAGGGACCACTGTGATCATCTAGTCTGACCTCCATAGAACTTCCCCAAACTAATTCCTATCGCACATCTTTTAGAAGAACATACCATCTTGATTTAGAAATTGCTAGTGATGGAGAATCCACCACAACCTTTGATAAGTTGTTCCAATGATCCCATTATCAAATATTTGTTCCTCATATCAGTACTTATAGATTGTAATCAAGTCTCCCCTTAACCTTCTTTTTGTTAAGCTAAATAGATCCCACTAAACAACTTGACTCAGTTATTTCTTGTGGAAGTTGAAGAATGTACATTCTGTGTAGCATCCTGGAGTATACTTGGTTTAAAAAACAGCCCCAAAAAAGTAACTAAAGCATATGTTACTTTTTTTAATTAACAATACTGTCATTACTGTACTTGGTACTCCCAAAGCTACTTTCATCTGAAGCTATCAGTGTACTTTACAGACATTCTTCATCTACCCTGTGAGGCGTATTTATTAGCTAGATTTTACAGATGGAAAAACTTTGAGCACAAAGAAGAGTAATGTGAGGTACCTTCATTTTTGGTTGCCCCACTTTTGAGACTCTTAAGGCCCATGCGCAGCGGTGCAGAGCACCCACCTCTGCCAATAACTTCAGTGGGTGTTGGAGATGCTCAATACTTGTGAATGTAAAACTTCAGTTGGGCACCTAAAATAAGTGAATATTTTCAGAAGCGTCCTAAAGTTGCTTGTCCAAGGTCAGCAAATGTATTGGGGTGTGTTTTCACTAGGAGGGGAAAAAAAGTATTTTCTTAACTCAGCTTAGCTAACTTGAGGTCCTAGTAAAGAGGCAGTTTGTAGGTTTCACACAATTTAGTAGGTCAAATAAAAGACTAGGCTCCCCCGTAGTCTTTAATTTGACCTGCTAACACATGTGAAAACAATAAGCTGCTTTGTCTTCCGTAAGATTTTTACCTCAAGTTAGGTTCGTTCTTCATGTTAACTTTCTTCTCTGGCAAAGACAAATCCTTATGACAAATCCAGGATTAGAACCTAGGAATCCGGACTCTGAGCCACTACTCTAGCCAGTAGACAACAGTGTCTTCTTTTTATTTAGATTGTAAGCTTTTGGGGGTGGGAATAGTCTGTGTATGTACAGTACCTAGCACAGTGGGGTCCTGGACCATGACTTGGGCCTCTTGGGGCTCCTGTAATAAAATTAGTAAAGATAAAGTGTGTTCTGGTTGCAACAATGCCCTGTTTTAAGATTCACAGAGCTATATGTGGGATTCTGGTCTGCGAGTAGGGCTCCTAGGCACAGTGGTAATTCAAATACTATATTATGGTGATAGATGAAGGAAAACAATCAACAAATGTTTACTATATGCTCACTATGCTGACTACTTCTGTTGTGTTGCCTGGTTTGCTAACAGCTTTGTGACATGACCCATTAAAGAGATTCGGTTTTGGAAACACCGTAATGAAGCTCGTTGGTCCTAGGGTATGAGAGGATGCTAGTTTGTTTAAGCACCTTGGCTGCTGGAAGCAGATGCACAGCGTGTGTATGTCTAATACACACCTCCACTGGCCAGGGCGGCTGTAATGTCTGCTTATCCTTCAGCAGCAGAAAATTTCAGTCATAAATCCGTTTTCCTAGGGAAGAAGTAAAAAAAATACATTTTGAAAAGCAGAAAATGAAAGACATCTGAACCGATGACTTCTAATTACTGGTTGTATATAAATATTGCCTTTCAAAAATGTTTAGAATTGTAATTGTAAGAGGTAATCATACAGCTTAAAAGCTGTTTCCAAAAATGCTCTCCACTATCTTGTCCTATTGCTGCAGATGACTAAAGATGATAATTGGGTCTCTTGGTACATTTGATGGCAGAGGTCATTTCCCTGAGCTATCTTGCTTTCTGCAAATTTGCTTGGGTCATTTTGGGGTTTTAATGATTTACTAAGGCCTTATTTGTAAATATCAAACGTGGGTTTTTATTGAGGAGTTAAAATGAAATAGATACCTCCCTAGGTAGTCATATGTTTGCCTCCTTTCATATTTATGTATTATGTGCATACAGTTTATCCTGCCAAACAGTGGTTAGAATGGTTTCCTTTTAACAAGTGGAAACTGCATGTTTTCCCCTTCAACAGACGTTAAACTATCCTATGTTTGTGAAGGTGCTTTCATTTTTGTACGACGGAGGACGATGCTCACAGTATGAGTTTAAAAATGGTTTAAAATAACTCCAGGCCATGGTGCTTGCACTGAGATGCTTGTGCCTGAAATGTGTATCCTAAAGGCTTCCCTGTGAGTGCAATAGGAGATGGTGCTACCCAGTGATGTGAGCCAGCTGATGTTACCGTTTTTTGAAAAAGAGAGGAAGCATGATCTTTAAGGCATAGGACTAGGAGGCAGTAGGTCTGGGTTTAATTACCAGTACTGCCACAAATTTCCCATGAAACCTTGGGCAAGTCACTTAGCCTGTCATTGCCTTAGTTTCTCCATCAGTGCAATGGGGATGATAACACTTCCCTCACAGAGAACTCCTATGTACAGTCCACTAGTATGATTGTTATCAACATTGTTTGTTTTAACTCTGTTTCAATTTTTGTAGGCCAAGCTTCCAGATTTGCAGCCGTTTCCTTCTCTGGATGGCGACACTGTGACACAACATGAAGAACTTGTGTGGATGCCAGGGGTCAATGACTGTGACCTGCTCATGTACCTCAGGGCAGCAAGGTACATGAAGCCAAGATAACCCAGCTTCCCCAGAGCACTCAAGCTGAAATATGGGACATGGCCTAAGAACGTTGGGCTAAGGTTGCCCATCGTCCGGTGTAGAGGCAGTATCACATTAGAATGTTAAGAAGTTGATTTTTTTTTTTTAGGTTGGGAGCCAGTGTCAAAACGTGATGGTGTTAGGCTAGCTCCAAAGCTATTTTGGCTTGCAAAGGAATGTCACATTGGGCTGTCTCTTTTGGATTGAAAACAAAGTAATTATATGTGCAACATAAATAGTGATGTAATATCTAAAGTGTACAGGTCAATTAGGGAAGTAAAAGCTGTGAATAAAATAACCGTGACAGTATAGAATTCCTTCCTGTAGTAAATATTCTTTTGGTAACACTAGGTTGCATAGCTAAGATTCACCCTAATACTATGAACTATGCCTAGGGAGTCGGATCAAACAATTTAGATCTTTATACATAAAGATCAGGCTCCCAAAATAGTGGATCAGGCATTAACTCAGGACGTGTGGATAAATAATCATTTTTAATTTGTAATAAACTAATGACTTGGCATCCTACAGTTAGTTCCAAGACAGCTTGCTGACTTAATTAAACTAAAATTGTGATGACAGGTAAGCTGTCTGGGGCAGGACTGCATCCTCATATGAGGTGGTATTCCTAGCACAATGCTGATTGGGCCTCTGGGTGCTACAGTAATGAAGAATTAAATTATGCTAATATCTTGGAGTGAGTCTTTGAATAATACCTTGAAAATTATCCAGTATTAAAAATAGCCCAATACTGAAGACATGCAGGTGGGCAAAACAGAGCCCTGAAAATGGTGATTTACAATGTAAATAGCATCTGTATATTGCATAATGTGTGCAATTAGAGGATGAATTGTTTCATTTTATTTTTTAACTATAAAGGAGCATGGCAGCTTTTGCAGGGATGTGTGATGGAGGATCCACAGAAGATGGCTGTGTTGCAGCCTCTCGCGATGACACTACACTCAATGCACTCAACACAGTAAGTATCCAGAAGTGTTGACTCTGTAAAAGAGTTCCCTGGTTTTATTTCATTTTAAGGGGCCATCTAATGTATGCAGCACATGAATAACAGATGTATTAACCCTTAACTAGAGCATGTCTGGAGTCGTAGCATGATCTCATCAGTAGCCTGGGACTTACTAACTTCATGCTACTCAACACCTCATAGTTACCTCCTCAATCATCTACAGTTTTCCAAGTGAGTATTTTAGAGAGAGAAATTATTGTTCTGTATTATAATCAGTTCATATGGGTCATCCCAGATTTAATTGTTATCTTCCGAAGTTTCCATAAAACATAGGGAATGCCTGACCTGACTATTGGTCCTTTCAATCATCCATTTGGCTCCTATCAGTAACAAATACCTGGTCTTTCATAAAGGAAGAGAAACCGATAATGCACTCAATCGCCTATTGTCCAGTTCTTTATATGCGGGGAAGGATCTCCTTCTGACCGTTCCACAGTGATCACTTGGAAGCATATGATTTGATTCTCTCTCTCATTAACTTATCTTTCATGGCTACAAATGCTGTTAGTGGCCCTCAAAAATATATAGCTCTTCTTAAAATCCAGTTACAGTAGTTGATTCAATGTTTTTGGTACTGAACAGCACCAGCTGACTCTATGTAACATAAATATTGCATTTTATTAAGAATAAATGTACATGTAATTTCATGGAGTGTCCTGTTCATGTTTTAAGGAACAGGCTGAAAAAATTGTCTTGAGTGACTGCCATATTTTTCAATAACTCAGTAAAATCTCATCTAGTTCTTCTTTCAAGGCTAAATAATCCTAGTTTTTGGAGTCTCGCCACACAACTGATTAATTTAGTTGACCTTTTATTGGATATTTTCCATCTCCACTATTTCCTCCTTAACTTGCAATTTTTCTACTCTGAAAAGTGACCAGGGTAAAAATGGCACAACTTTACTTATTGGGTCTGTTCCCTATATGTATTCAGAGTTGTATCTGCTGACTTTAGTGACAGATGAAGTTTTTATTTGTTTTTTAATATCTGTTCAACCTGCCAAGCAAATCCGATTGGGAATGAGCTGTTGTTGTTTCATTTTGTGCATAATCTACAAGATTATTTTGCTAAATTCCAATCACTCACACCTAGGAAAGCTCACCGAAGGTAATGGGGCTTGTGCATGTGTAAGTGAGATCCTGATTTGGCCTGCAGAACCTTTAGTACTGGTGATCACGTGCAAGGTGGGGGAAAAAAAAAACCAAAAACAGCTGGAGACTCGAGGTATGTCTACGTTGCAATTAGACACCTGCAGCTGGCCTATGCCAGCTGACTCTGGAAGGGCTGCTTAATGGCAGTGTAGACCAGGGATAGACAACCTATGGCACGCGTGCCGAAGGCGGCACGCGAGCTGATTTTCAGTGGCACTCTCACTGCCCAGGTCCTGGCCACCGGTCCGGGGGGGCTCTGCATTTTAATTTAATTTTAAATGAAGCTTCTTAAACATTTTAAAAACCTTGTTTACTTTACATACAACAGTAGTTTAGTTATATATTATAGACTTAGAGAAACAGACCTTCTAAAAACGTTAAAATGAAATCAGAGTGAACAAATGAAGTCTTGGCACACCACTTCTGAAAGGTTGCTGATCCCTGGTGTAGACATTAGGGCTCTAGGAGCAGAGCCCGGTCTCCAGCTTGAGCTCAAGCATCTACACTCCATTTAAACAGCCTTAGCCCGAGCCCCGCAAGCCCGAGTCAGCTGGCATGGGGCCAGCCACTTGTTTTTAATTGTAGTGTAGACATACCCTGGGATCCCAGGTTACATTTGCAGAGCTGCCAGCTAGAAACCATGTCTGCTGAGTACATTATATGGAATCGTTGAGAGACTATAAACTGAATTTTCCCAATACACATTTTACAGAGCTATTCTTAAAAGTGGAACTACACTTTAAGGGGAAGATTACCAAACCAGACAGTCGTCCTCACGAGGATATGTTGTTTTATTTTTGTTTGTTCCATCTTTTTTAATTCACTTGGGCAGTCTATTTTTAAACTTCTTTGCTGCAGACTGGACCAGCATCTTCATTTAGCGATCCACAATGACTTGTGTCACTGTCCTCAAAAGAATTATGTGGGCTCAGAGCCCCAGGGCATACATGAGAAGTTGAGACTACTTTTGTCCACTGTGCAAGTTAATCTGCTCTCACTAGCCAAAAAGAAACTGTTTATTGATACCAGCAAAATTCACCGTCTATTCTACTTCTGCAGATCATTTAATAGTAAATAACATCAGTGCTAACCTGTGGTGTACTATGCAGTTAACTTTCCTACACTCTGAGAGGCATTTGCTGTGGTTGTCTCTAATTGCTTGAGTAATTTTCTTTTGTAACTATTTATTTAGGCAGTTAACAAGTTTACAAATCATTGGCATGTAGGTGTCAGAAATAGAGCAATAACCATTACAACAGTGAGCTTATTTTTTTTGTTTAGAGAACATTATGCAGTAATATAATAATCAAATCTCTCTCTCTAACGGTGTTACAGTAGTAGTAGTATTTATATTAGTGTAGTGCCTAGCTGCCTAGCCATAGATCCCGACCCCATTGTGCTAGGCAATGTATAGGGTGAGCCTCTTTATACCATCCAGGATCTGTTGTTTCTGATGAAGCTACGGATCCTACTCATATCTGTCAAACCAAGCGTTTCTATTAAATGTAACCAGCGAATTTTTAACCCACAGCAAGGCATTTCCTTGCTTGTTGCTATTACAGAACTATTTTGCTTAATATATTGTCTTATAATGGAACCTTACCAAAAATGTCCAAATGTTTTAAACATGTGTGGAACTTATGTTGACTTTCAAAAGGTTGGTTTGAGAGAGATTTTTCTTTTTTAGGGACACTTTGAAGTTAAAAACATGTGTTTTTAATACACAAATGTCCTTATCTATGTTACATTAGCTTACTAACCAGCATTTAAATATTATATTTTAGTTTTTGGCTTTTTTGCATTTCATTCAGTTTGGGACAGTAAAACAGTAGTCATTTTCGTTGTCTGGTTTTCATGCAATATATCACAGTGCTTCAGTGACTGGATTTAAAACATTCCCCTGCAGCAACACCAAATTAAAAACTTCTTTATTTCTATAATGTTTTGTAAAAGTCTTTCCAAATGGGGAAAAAAATACACAAAATAAAATAAACCCCACACTTGAATCTAAACTACCTGACTACTTCCCTTTAAGAAGAGCTCTGTATGGCTTGAAAGCTTGTCTCTCTCACCAACAGAAGTTGGTCCAATAAAACATATTACCTCACCCACCTTGTCTCTCTTTAAGAAGTCATGCTTGTTTGACCCTATCATGTCTACTTATTCAAGTACTACACTTAAGTAGCCTCCAAGTCCATTTTAGAATTGAGATAAAACTTGCTGGGCTTCCCATTCCAAAGCTCTCCCATGGCTCCTTTTCTTAAAAGATAGACAATGTGTTAATAATTTTCGAATATTCAAGAACAATTGCCATTTTAAGGCTATATTGCACATCCTCATCCGTTTTTCAGCTATTTTACATTTTATCTCCGTCCTTTCCCTTGGGATGGATGCCATCTGGTTCTGGTGGCTTACTGCTCCGAAGCATTTTAAGTTGCTCCATAACTTCCTATTTAGAAGACTCAAATCTCTTAATAAGGCCAATAATCACCAAAGAGCTCTTGGAATTGGAATTTTTCTCCTTGTCATCGATAGTAAAAGACTAATGCAGAAAATGCATTTAACTTCTCTATCCTCTTTAATTACCCTGTTAATCCCTTGGTGGTCTGGAGGGCCTATGGTTGCGCTTGCAAATTTCTTGCATCACAGACTTATGAGTTTGTCTTTATATATTTGGTTGATCTGTTCCTCTTCTTTTTTCCCCTTTGTGTTTTTAATATGCACCTTATCTAGCAGCGGCTGTTTTTTCCAGTCAGTTTATGTTGATAGCATAAGATTTCCACTTTGTAAGTCATTTAATAAACTTCTAATTTATCCCTTAATCAAGCTAGTTTTATTCCTCCTTTTTTTGCACTTTATATTTTTGGTTGCTTTGAGGTGGTGTAAACCATCTGTGCCTTGTATATCTCCAAGCTAGATCTTAACACCTTAAGTCTTATTTACTTTACTGTTCTGACAGCTGCTAACCATTCCTCATACTTTTTATGTCTAGTCTTTTCAAGTTCATCACTACAGAGCTGCCCTCTTATGATATCTTATTGTGCAGTGGTCACAATTGCCCAGTGAAGTTCTTACATTCACCTTCTGTATTCAGCGATTACATAAGAACTGCTGCTTCTTGTAGACATTTTGGTAGAAGTCCTCTGTTCCTCTCTGTCTGGAACGATCCTCCTTTCTACCACCGCCTCAACCATGCATAGTTCCAGCTAAGGAACTTGGGCTGGGTAGCACTTCCAAAAGGACTATATATAATAGGCTTGACGTAGGCTGCTGGATTTCTGTCATGTTCACTGGTTTATTCACTCTTGAATCCAGGTACTCGAGGTATATTTTTGGAGCGCACTGTGTATAAATGTTACGTGCATCGTGTTTTAGAAGTTCCTGAAGATACCTACATATAATTCATATTTCAGGTTTGTTTCTCTAGATAAAAATACCTTTTTCTGAGTGGCAGTTTCCCACTATCTGAAAATGCATTTAATCCAGTTAAAAGTGGACTGTCTAAGTAGCCAAGACCCTGTCTAGAAGGTTGATTTGAGTTACAGCAGATTCCACTTAACATAGGTGTATGATCTGAAAAAGCTGTAAGAGCTTAACCAGCCATCAAAGTCATTGAGACGTCAGTGGGTGCATGACTGAGCCCTAGTTTTTCATCTGACTGGTGCTGTTGCCTGAGCTGCAAAGAATTTTGTTTTCTTGACATGATGCCATCTTCCCTCCTCCTCCAGTGTCTGTCCACTTAGCGCAGGCTTTGGGTTTGCACAACAAGCTAGTTCTGAGCAGCTGGTGCTGTACTAAGTT